CTTGTCAAATAACTTTCCTGTTGTTGGTTCTCTTTCTTTGTCCTCTGTTTAAATGCTTGTCTAGCCTGGTGAGCTTATTCTGTTGGGGTTCATGGAGTTGTAGTCTTCATTACTCTTTGTAGAATGTCCTTCAGAACATTTGGAGTGCTGGTTTGGTGGTCATGAATTTATTCAAATATTTTTATCGTGGAAGTATCTTATTTCTCCATCAATTTTGAAAGATGATTTGTAGGGTATATCAATCTGGGTTGGAGGCTTTTTTAAAAAGAGCTTTAAATACTTCACTCTAAGCTCCCCTTGACTTGAGGGTTTGTGTTGAGAAATCCGCTGTGTTCTGATGGGCTTTTCTTTATAGATGATTTGTTTCTTTTCTCTAACGGCTTTTAATATTTTGTTCCTGTGTTGAGTTTCTGGAATTTTGAATTGGAGTAGTGTTTTGTTTTTTTTTTTGTCATGGCTAATTGGAGTTCTCTATGTCTCTCTTATCTATATGTCATGTTCCTTTTCCATGATTAGGAAGTTTTCTGCCATTATTTCTGTGAACAGATTTTTTTTATGTCATTTGTAGTATTTCCTAATTTTTCATTAACTCTGATCAGTCTTATGTTATTGTTCTTTGCACTGTGTAGTAGCTGTTGGATTGCTTTCTCATTGTCCTTTTCTTTTTTAAAAAAACATTTTAAATACACTTAATGATATCATTCATAGTAGAGAATTTGTACCTATAATGATACATCTTCTTTTTCTCATTACCCCCTTCAACTTCCTCTTCTCATTTATAAAAGCTTTATTTCCATTTTCCTTCTGTTCTCTTTTTTCTTGTCCTTTCTTTCCTTTCCTTGCTATCTTTAAGAAATCTTTCTTTTCATTTTCACTAACTGCAAACTTTATTTCTAGATCTGATATTCTGTCCTCACATTGGTTCATTTTGGTGCATATGCTTTCAATTTTTTTAAATCTCCTGGATATCTGTTTGAGTCTGTTTCATGAATTCCATTTCTTTCCTGTGTTGGACATTCATCATTTCCATCATTTTCCTAAGCTCCTTTACTTTTTTTAGAAATTGGTGTTTACTCTCTATTCACTAGCCATACCCTTCATTGTGGTCATCATCTCTTTAGTTATCTGAGAAATTATGTCTAATTTGAGTTTTTCTAAGGCCTCATTCATCTGCCTTGTCACTTCCACTATTATCATTTCAGAGAGTTGGATGGATGGCTTTGAATTGTTGCACCTCATTGTTCCCCTGGTTTGCCTTAGGTGAGCTCCAATTCTGGGGTCGCAACTTGCTTCAGTATCTTCTCATTATTTTAGTTTAGCTTTTGCGTTGGTGCTAGATAATTGCTTGTGGTAGGTAGCCTTATTGCTAGTATTGAAAAATCCTTAGGAAATGACTACTTTTCAGAGATGCCTTATGGGTGTAGCTGGCTTTTGAGTCTGTTGCAGATCCCACCTCTTCAATTTATTGGGATAAGAAGTTGTTGCCTATTTAGCCTAGACTCTGTTTCTTTGGTACTGGCTTCTAGTATTGTTTATGACCCTCAGTCAATCTCAGTCTTGTAGAACAATGGATTAGAACAACTATGTCCCCTTGGCTAACGTAGTATAATCAGTAATGATGATAGCATCAATAACAGCCTAGAAAATTACAAACTGTTGTGACTATTAATTTGCCACCTTTAACTATATCAACAAGATTTGTAGTCGTATAAGAAAATCTAAAACAAATCAGAAAATTTAATACAGTAAATATCTCCTCCATATAGTGATTTTACCCTCAGGGGAAAATTTTAAAAGGGGAAAGAGGAAAAAATAGAGAAATAGAAGAAGAGGAAAACATTAGAAGCAAGGCTGAAGGACAAAAGAAGATTAAAAAAAGCTTTGGGAAATTGATAAGGAAGACTGGAGGGAAAGAAAAGAAAAAACACAAGAACAAAACAAGATGACAACAAAAAACTGAAAACAATGTTTACACTCATATAAAAACAAGAACAAATGAAAAAACAAGCAAAAGGAAAAAAAAGTCTATTTCAGGGCGTGTCTCTGCTGTCACTCATAGACAAATGGGGCGACAGAGCCCAGATCCGTGTTGATCAATTCCTGAAATCCTTCAGTACGATTACTGTTTGGGTAATCCCAGCAAGCCTGTGCTTTCAACTTTACTGAAGTTTTGGCTGATCCTGGATTTTGGTTGTGAGGCTGGGACCCAAGTTTTTTGGCTTACAACCTTTCAGATGCCTCTTGCCAGCTTAAACTCTGCTTCCTGACCTTGAGTGTCTCCCATGGCTGCAGCTCACCTTGGCACTCAGAGCCCTGAGAAGGAGCTGACCCATTGCTCCTCTGAGTGCCAGGTTCAGCTGGCCCCCTTCCAAAATGGCAACTTGTTGACTGCCTTCTCTTGGGCGTGTATGAATTGGATTGGAATCACTCACCAGTCACTGCACCCCACAGCATCTACCGCTCTGTTCCACTGATATGTTTCTCCATGGAGGCCTCTAGAATCACCAGTAGTTGCTGTGCTTCTGCAGGATTGAGCCATTTCTCTCATACCAAGAGCTGGGATTCAGAGAGAAAGTGCTGTTTGTCACCTCCCTCTTCAGCATTGAGGTCCCTATTTTTGCTCTTCCTGTGGGCTCCAATTTTCAATTCAGATAGGGACAGGGTCCAGATCTTTGCACCTGAAGGGAGGCTGTTGTGTCAGCAGCTTCCACAGGCTTTGTGGTCTCTTGTAAATGTCAGAAATGTCAACCCTGAATGTTAGACATTTTGGCAAGGGCTGAGTGCTGTTCCTGGCAGTACCCTGACCCATTTGAGCACCTGCCCAAGTTTGGCCCTGACCAGTGCTCAGTTCTGACGTGTGGTGAGCTGGGATTGCACTTTTGGCCAGTGGGAGCATAAACATTCAATTGCTCTTTGGAAAACAGTTTACTGGTTGATTTTGACCTTGTCATTTCACTTCTAAGAAACTACTCAAGGAAATACCCAAATGAGTTTTATATACAATTTATGCTAGCATTATTTTATAGTGGTAAAAATATTAAGACATGAATATATAACTATAGGTAAATGTGAAATATACATGCTGAGCATAAGTATTTCATATGTAATATGAATATTATGCACCATTAAACTAGTGTTAATAAAACTTTATTAATACAGGTGTGTGTGTGTGTGTGTGTGTGTGTGTAGTACTGGGGATGCAGTACTTTGCAATGGACTCTATCCCTTTTTATTTTTTATTTTGAGATGAGGCCTCACTAAGTCTGTGAAGTTGCCCAGACTGGGCTTGAATTTTTAATCTTTCTGCCTCTGCCTCCCTGAGTGTTGGGATTACAGACACGCAACATGCACCACTCAGAAAATTCTTATGTGATAATGGTAAGGGAGAAGTATAGGATATAAAGTTATAGGCCTGGTTTAATTCGATGATATAAAGAACCCTGGAGGGAAATATGCAGATACGTTGACAGAAATTGCCTTTGGGTATAGAAATTGCAGGCAGTTTTCCCCTCTCCCTTCTCCCCCATGACTTCTGCCTTTCCATTTGCTGTACTTTCCAAATTTTCAAAATAAACAAATTTTGCTTTTGCAGTCAGAAAAAGGTTTTACAAAGAAAAGCATATAAGCATATTTGAAATTCTGAGACAGGATCTTGATAAATTTCTAAATTGCCCAGGCTGGGCTCAAACTTGCCACCAACCTGTTTCAGCCTTCAAGTGCTGGGATTAAGGTGTGTGTCACCACACCCAGGTTGTGTCATTGCCTTTATTCTCCTCTGGGTCACCTTCTAGCAGTTACCCTTGTTGAGGGGATTTGCGATCACTGCTTGGAACCACTTCTGTTGATTCCTTGGCAGGAATGTTGGCTGGGGGAAGGAGACTGGAAGTGAGGCTTGCTGTTTTATGGAGGTCTGATTGCGCTTAATTGCCTTCCCCATTCCTACCTTCCACCCAGGAAAGGCAGGAGCTTGCCAGCCCCTCTGTATGTGCTATGCCTCCAGCCTTGCTTCTCATTTTTTTTTTTTTTTTTTTTTTTTTT